ACATAAATAGAACAATATTTGAAGTGCTGATCAAGCAAGGCTTTACAATCTTGCAAGCTCATGCCACGAACACTTGTAGAAACAGTCAATATATATATATTGAAATAAATAAATCTAAAATCATATATATACATACATATAGGAAATTAGAAAATAACACATATTCCACTGGAAACATACACCAATAAGACTATATCACAGTCGCCCATTTCTTGGGGAGTTCAACTTATCTAAACAAAAAAACAACGATTCAAATTTCCTGTCATTCTTTTCTTCTGACCTAACAAAACGAAGAAAAATTCTGTGAGTTTACTCTCTCGACTTATTGATTTCAGTAAAGGGAGGTAGATCTAGACTCTTTGGAGTGATCTGTATGATTCAAAAGAGATGAAATCACCAGTAGAGGAACTAATAACTTGAAAATAGACTGAAACTTTTGGAATAGCACCAACTCTTTCTTTACCAAAGAAAATGATACGGGACAGTTCGTCATCGGATGCAAATTCCATGTTTCCGGAGTATCGATATGAACTGATCATCAAACGCATCGGCTTTAAATTTTGTTAAAGGCGTTTATTTCTTCAATGCCCACAGCACGACATTAATTTGTAGTTGGTTGAGGCTTACTTCGGGATAACACGTAACATACGATTTCGACACTTGGAAAAGTGTTGAAGGTATTGCTGGACGATGGCCTCTTCCAGGTTGTATGTTCTATTTTGTACATTTTCAGGCCAATGCAAGGTACAGCTATAACATCAGTGACACCCTCTACTTCCAATTATTAGGAATTAGGCAAACTCGCCACCCAAGCTTTGCTTTCTCGGTGTATTTCGGAAATTTGTAGACTGTCACCTTCTGATCACCAGGCTGATTTCTCTCCAGATCTACAATTATCGTACACAGAACATTTCTTTCCATGTTTACAAGTAAAGTGTAGCCTAGTTCAAATTACTTTCATTCTAAGAACTCATATTCTTATCTACTGTTTTCATCTTTCACAGCAGAATTTGTACTGCATCGTGTTGTAATAGAAAAGAAAATACGCGAAACAACAGAAAATCACATGTACAATAAGTCCTGATAGACACACTGCATTGCTGAATAAGATAACGAGATCATGTATGTGCGTTAATTGTGTTGGTTCAAATTATATTTACCGTTATCACCGCTTTTCAATGTTCTTGAAACACTATAAGTATCTATCCTGTCTGGCTCCTCGGACTCCTCGCCATTTTGATGAACAGCAGAGGTTGAAATAAACGGTGCTAGATCTAGATCTAGTTCCACCAGCTACTTAATCCCACAATGAAATAAAGCACCACTGATATTGTTTAGATAAAACAAAAGTGCAAGATAACAATCATCGACAGAATAATGTACAAGTACTCCAAGTTATACACGGGTGAAAATAATCCAGAAAAAAGGAGCAGATATTCAGAAAACAACGCACACAAAATGCTGAAGGTGGTAACAACACAACAACACACAACACACAAAACGAACTTAGCGCCGTGTAAGGCCAATGGGTGGTCTCTTTGATTACTTTTTAATTAAAGGGTGTCGATACCAGTCTCTTAAACTACAGACAAACAAGAGGTGTCGCAGTGAGCGGTAATGCAATTAAGTGTAATCGGATACCCGATACCAAACGAGCACACGTTGGCCAGTACTTTGCGAGGCAGCAAGATAAGAGAGGGGGGCATCTCCTACCTGTGGGCCTGGACAGTGGGCCCCTATCTCCTGAGGGCTTGTAGTCGGATGTGTGGCATGTAGTAAGAACGTATAGATAGGGGCGTTAAACCTATACAATTTCACCATTTTTTAAAAACTATGGCTTCGATGGCCTGTCGGCTACGCTCGTACGTACACTGTATCCATGCACTCTTCATAGTGCAACTGGGCGCGTCGTAGATCTACTTCAGGTTGTTTTGTTTTTTCTTCTAAATTTCTTTTTTTTTCTCTTTATATTGCCTTTTTATTTTTCTGTTTATCTCGCTGTCACCCTTCTTTTTTTTCTCCTTCTATTGTCTTTTTTTATTTTTCAGTTTATCTCGCTGTTTCCCTTCGATAAATAATGACGGTATGCTGTATGCGTGTGTTTAGAATGGCTTCTACGAGGGCAGTATCGTCCATTAGACGGATCATCGTTACAGAGCTGGGTACAAATTTCCGTGACGTCACCGAGTTTGAGACAGTCCCCGTGCCAACTCTCAAGTCCAAAGAAGTGCTAGTCAAGAACAGGTAGACCTTATCATATCATAGATTTACACTACTGGGATTAAAAGGAGATAACTCTATGGGAGATATTATGGATATCATCCCAGAGCTGCATGCAGCAAATATGTACAAACAGCAGCAGCAACAACAGCAACAATTATAATAACAACAGCCATATATAATAACCACAGCAACCACAACAATCACAACAACGACGACAAGAACAAGCTTCACCACAACAATGGCAAAAAAACTTTTTTTCCATCACCTCTCCCTCTCCACCCTCCTTCCCTCAAAACAACAATAGCAACGCCACCACTACCACCACCACTACCACCACCACTACCACAACTGCCGTCACCGCCATCGCCACCACCACCACCACCACAGCAACAACAACAAATCAAAACAGACAGATAACATTAACAACCCAGGAGAAAAAGAAAATACCCCCCCCCCTCTCCAAAAGAAAAAGAACCAAAAACGAAACAAACAAAACTTCATTTAAAACCAAAAAACCCCCATCAAAGGCAACATTAAAAATGGGTTAAAGGGAAACACACAAACAGAAAACTGACTAAGTGCAAGCAAGCTCTTGTTTATTTCTACTAAAAATACATTTTTACTAGCTGCTTTCAAATAAATTATTAATTTCTTTCAGATTCATCGGAATCAACGCCTCGGATATCAATTTCAGTGCTGGGCGTTACTTTGGAGTGAGCAATCCTCCCTTTCCTATCGGCTTTGAGGTACGAAAAATTTCAAACAAATCTGCAAAATATTATTTGTGTACAAATATAATGCACATTATGTATCATCGTCAAGCTGTACAAGTACTTTTAAAAAAAATTACAGTAGAGGGTTTTACGGCACTCGCAACTGCATAAGGTCATTTGAGCGCCAAGGGGTGGGTGTCAACAGAGAAGTCTTTACAGGGAATAAGACTTACTCTGCTCACCTCTCTAGCTTCAACAGCACAAGGTCTGCTTCGACTATCAAGGCACCCTGGAAATAGCAGGTCACAAGAGAGTGACAAACATACAAAAGAAGTAGAGGAAATATGACGATAGTAAGGATTTGGAAAGAAGAAGCAACAGTTCCTTGTTAAAGATCAGGCACAGTTATGAGCGTGACATGATGAATCAGCCCATTTACAATTCTATTGTGCTTGAACGAGAAATATCCCCCCTTTGGGAATGGCCTAAAGACACTACAGTCAGTGGCGCTGCCCCGGGGGGTTATACAAGTACTTTATAAGGCTTCAAAGCAAGTCTTTTTTTTTTCTTGAGAGAGACAAAAATGTTTAAGTTTCGTAACAAGTGTACCAACATAATGTATAAACTTGGCACGATCTTCGGAGACACAGGTGAATAGTTGTTAGTCCACACACCCATACACGATTTTTGTTATTTCCAAGACCATTTTTTCATTAAGGTAGAATAAATGGTGCTCTAATGTTAATGTGTCCATTAGGTGCTCTATTAGTGTATTACTAATGAAAACAAATTATTTACCTGGAAGATGACACGTAGCTCTTTTCAAACAAAAGTCCTGGCTTTTTTTTTTAGAGATCAACTTTAAATTATTTTATTACAAGATGCTTCAACTGAGCGAGGCTGACCTCAAGTTTCGCTTTTGCCTTGAACAAGTCAGAAAATTTGCCCAAGAAACAGCGAGGCAGCTAATTTGCAATGTTTGTATCGTTTCTCGACTTCCAAAGATAATTATTGTTTTGGAAGGTGGCCATTGGAGCAGGTTATCTGATATTATGCTTAAATGAGTGTGATTTGCGTTCCCATGCAACTACCCCACCCCCTCTCCTTTTGTGTTTCAGGGAATAGGCGAGGTGGTTGCAGTAGGCCCAGACGCCAGCCTCACCCCAGGCCAGAAGGTGGCATATTGTAACTTTCCGTCGTTTGCTGACCACACAGTGAGTTTACTCTTTCTTTTTGTTTGTTTGTTGTTGTTTTTTTGTTTTTGTTAGTGCATTACGGCTCACGCAACTGCGTATGGTCATATGAGTGCGCCAGACACATTAAACATTTTCAGTCTGCAAGAAATTAATTTTGAATTTTGCCCGGTTGGTGGTCGAAACTTAATCTTATCAAATTGGACCACCAAGAGATCTTTAACGTGCGCAGCTTTCACACGGGACCTCCGAGAATTTTTTGTCTCTGTCTGAGAAGGTCAAGTTTTGATCTTATCTACCCTAAGATCAGAGTTGTGCCTGAGAGACAGCAGTAAGAAGAAGCCAAGAAGGAGCAGTAGAAAGGCTGCAGATAGAGTCAGGAGCCCAGAGGAGGGGGCAAATGTGGTGGGGGGGGGGGGGTAGAAAGTGGACACAAAAACAGAAGACAGAACTTGTTAAGAGAGTAGGGAAAGAGGTGAAAGGAGAAAATTTTAAAGAAGAAAGTTGTCCGTAGCTCTCAG